ATTTCTAGATACTTATGAATTACCAAAGTTGAATGAAGAAGATAAAAAAATTCTAAACACCCCAATTACAATCAGTGAAATTGAAAATGTAATTAAAAATTTACCAATAAAGAAAAGCCCAGGTCCTGATGGATTCACTGCTGATTTTTACAAGACATTTAGAGAAGAATTACTGACTTTACTCTTCAAACTTTTCAATGAAATTGAAAGGGAAGGTATACTTCCAAATTCATTCCTGAAAGCAAGTATTACTTTGATTCCCAAACCAGGGAAAGACAGAACTAAAAAAGCGAACTACAGGCCAATCTCCTTAATGAATATAGATGCAAAATTCCTTAACAAGATACTAACAAACAGAATATGGAGGATCATCAAGATCACAAATCCTGACCAAGTCAGATTTATTCCAGGGATGCAAGGATGATTCAACATACATAAATCAATAAATGTAATACACTATATTAACAGAGTCAAGGATGAAAACCACAAGATCCTCTAGATAGATGCAGAAAAAGTATTTGACAAAATTCAACACCCATTCATGATAAAAAAAACTCTGCAAAAATTGGAATAGATGGTCTATATCTCAACTTAATAAAGGCTATCTATGAAAAACCAACAGCCAACATTATATTAAATGGCCCAAAACTGAAAACCTTCACATTACAATCAGGAACAAGATGCAGGGCATTGTGGCGCACCCCTATAATCCCAGCACTTGGAGGCTGAGGCAGGAGGATCACTGTGAGTTTGAGACGAGCCTGGGCTACACAGTGAGTTCTGGGTCAGTCTCAACTACATAGTAAGACCCTTTCTCAAAAAACAAAAAAACAAAAAAAGTCAGGAACAAGACAAGGATCCCACTATCACCACTCCTCTTTGGATTAGTTCTGGAAGCATTAGCCATACCAATTAGAGAAAGAAATTAAAGCAAAAAGATAGGAAAGGAAGAAGTTAAACTGTCATTATTTGCTGACGATATGATACTCTGCATTGAAGACCCAAAAAACTCTACCAAAAGACTTCTAGACTTAATTGACACTTTTAGCAGAGTAGCTGTATACAAGGTCAACACCTAAAAATCAATAGCCTTCTTGTAAACAAATAACAGACTTACTGAGAGAGAAATTAGGGAAACAATTCCTTTCACAATAGTATCCAAAAAATGAAGTATATAGGAATCAGTCTAACAAAAGAAGCAAAAGACCTCTACACTGAAAACTACAGCACTCTGAAAAAAGAGATTGAGGAGGATATAAGAAAATGGAAAGATGTCCCCTGCTCCTGGGTAGGAAGAATCAACATAGTGAAAATGGCCCTACTACCAAAACTGCTATACAGATTCAATGCAATGCTAATTGAAATTCCAACACTATATTTCACAGAACTAGAAAAAAGAATCCAAAAATTAGTTTGGAACCATAAGCAACCTAGAATGGCAAAACCCATCCTAAGCAACAGACATATGGCAGCGGGTATAACAATTCCCAATTTGAAACTGTACTACAAAGGCACTGTGATAAAAACAGCATGGTACTGTCAAACAAACAGATCTGAGGATCAGTAGAACAGATTGGAAGACACAAAAACAACTCCAGATGTACTCAGCTACCTCATCTTTGACAAAGGCTCACTATCTCCACTAGAGGAAGGATGGCCTCTTTAAATGGTGTTGGAAAAACTGGATTTCAACCTGCCAAAGATTAAAACTAGACCCTTATCTTTCACCATGCACTAAATTAAAATCCAAGTGGATTAAAGATATAAATATTGAAACAGAAACACTAAACTTGCTGGAAGATAAGTTAGGCAGAACTCTTAAAGACATTGGCATAGGAAAAGACTTTATGAACAAATCCTCAGTAGCATGGGAACTAGCAGAAAGAACCAACAACTTGGATCTCATTTTATTAAAAAGCTTCTGCCTGCAAAAGAAAACATCAACAGAACTAAGAGACAACCTACAATGTGGGAAAAAAATTTACCAGCTGCTCCTGGTACACAAAGGACTATTATCTAGAATATATAAAGAACTCAAAACAATCAACCCCCCCTCAAAATAAAGACCCGATTCAAAAATGGGTATCTGAAATGAACAGACAATTCTCAAAGAAGTAAAAACACCAAGTAAATATATGAAGAAATGTTCCACATCACTGGTCATTTGAGAGATGCAGATGAAAACAACACTGAGATTCCACCTCACCCCACAAAGAATGGCTGCTATCAAGAAATCAACCAGTAACAAATGTTGGTGAGGCTGTGGGGAGAAAGGAACCCTTCTGCATTGTTGGTGGGAGTACAGACTGGTGCAACTGCTATGGAAATCAATATGGAGAATACCTCAAAGAACTGGGACTAAAGGTTCTATTTGACCCAGCCATCCTTCTGCTGGGTAGTTTTCCAAAAGAATTAAAAGAATCATACCAGAATGATATATGCACACCCATGTTTATAGTGGCACAGTTTGTAATAGCTAAAACTTGGAAACAGTCCATTTGCCCATCAGTTGGAGATTGGATATGGAAGATGTGGTTTTTCTATTAAATGGAATACTACTCAGCCATAAAGAATGAGAAATTAGACTCATTCATAGGAAAATGGATGCATATTGAGGATATACTCCTAAGTGAAATAAATAAATCACACATATGTAAATACCAAATAATTTATCTGGTGTGCATAAACTGTAATAGTACGTAAGATTCTAATAAGATAACTGACATTGTGAAATGGGAAGAAAGGGGCTAAAGGTGTAGGGAAAGTGGGAAGGGGAGGGGAAAGGTAATAAAGGAAAAAATATGAGAAAATGAAAAAATGGAAATAAAGTGTTTGTAAATAGGAAGGGGGGAGGGGTGAAGGGAGCGCAAGGACAAGGAGAAAAAATGAGAGCCAAGACCTGTCATGTAATGATACAAGATTCCAGTAATGAATGGAACTGTACTGTATACCTAAAATGTACCAATAAACTCTATAAAAGAAAAAAACAAAAATGATCATGAAAGGGAAATGTTTTGAATTGATTCAGGTCATCAAGAAAGCCACAATAACACAAAGATGCTAATGAAAGACGACTTCCAGAACTGCTTCAGAATATGATGAGAACAATAGGATGAGTATGGGTAAGGCAAGGGGGTTATTGTGAAGGAAAGTAATGGCAATGTGTCTCTTGTTGCAATTTTTAATCTAAGCATTTATCATATGTTATGGCTGTATTTAGCTGTACCCACAAAGCCTCATGCTTTTTCAGAGGAGGCTGAATTTGAAATGTGTGATGCTGGAATCAAGGACCTGTGATCATTAAACCACTACTTGAAACTACTAAACCGCTCCATTAAACTACTACACTTGATCTACAAATGAGTGATTGATTGGTTTGGCACTGCCCCCATCCAGGTAGTCTGAATGGAATAAAAAGGTATAAAGGAGCTGCTAAGGTCTCTTGATGCTTTTGCTGTCTTCTGTCACTAGGAACTGTTGTCTCTATGACACCCTGACTGGGAACCAGCCAACTATTCAGTGAAACTTCTATGAACTATAAGCCAAATAAACCATTCCCCCTTTAACAATAGGTGTCAAGGATTGTGTCTCAGCAATGAGAGCAAAGTAACTAATACACCATATTTTTTTATCACAGCTCATATGTATCATTCATATGATTTCCTTTTCAGAAAGTTCTAAACAAATAAATGTTTAAAAATGGAGAATATGTATACAAGAAACAAACTACTGAGAAAATGTCAAATTATAAAGAGTATAATATTTACAATTGAGATGAACTAAGTAGAGGAAGGTAGGCATATGGAACTCTGAAGACCATCAAGCCAGATAAACATTATTTCCCTGTTTGCAGTGTGCTAGAGTCACAGGAGCTGAATACCTTTCTGAAATTACTAAATGAATGAGTATATTAATAAACAAATAAATAAGAAAGAGCTATTGTTGCTGATCATTATTATGAGTGTTGCAATCATTTAATAGAGTTTATGGCCATTTACAAAGGAAAGGAATGAAGAGAAAGACATGAAAAAGGAAGAAATAAAAGCAACAATAAAATAAAATCTCACACAGATTTCAAAAGCAAATTTGTGTGGTAGGGAAAAAGAAAGAAGAGAAAGAAAAAATATGACAAAAGGGAAAAAAATGGAAACAAAATCTTGTAAATAAGAAGGGGTGGATGGGGTGAAGGGAGGGCAGGAGAATTGGAAAAAAATAAGAACCAAGATACATCATGTAAAGCTACAAGTTCCCAATGGTGAATATAACTGTATTGTATACCTAGAATGTATAAAATTAATGAAAAAAAATTTTAACAAAGCAAATTTGTGTGAAGTGTTTTGTATGCCAGTAGAATGACTGGAGATGGCAGGATGTGCATGAAAATGGAACACACATATGTAGATAGTAAAATGTAAGTATAGATCTAGCAGCTGTGCTGGTTTACAAGGAAAATAAAACCATACTTGATCTTAGTAAAAGGCTGAGAAGTGATGAGAAAAACAAAACTTTCAATGCACTTTTTTAGAAAAACTAATAATTAAGATAATAGCAATGAGAACTGGTAGCGCAATGAACCAAATTAATTCTATAGAAGAAAACTGGAGGAATGGTTACTGTTCACAAAGTACAAGCATAATGGGTCAATCTCCAATATATATAGAGAGAGTAATTTGTGTTCTTAGCTGCTGACCTATTTTATTGTATTGGACATAAAATGTATATCCTTCCAGGTATCCACTCATGGGATTCTGATCTGATGTGATTCTCAGGGAAAAAGTTCCTAAGTATGTGGAACTGAGTCTGGGGGAAAGTTCAGCATTCAGTGAAAATCTGATCAGCACATTACTTTTCAGAATTACAGGATTGTCACATTGTGGCAGATACATTGAAACTGAGCAGGCACCATGGCAGGTAAGGAAGCAGCTGCTATGAGCTAAACAATGACAATAGTCTTAGGGAGATTTTTGCCCCTTGTTGAATCACCATGGGACACCAGTTACTATATTGGTAGCAGTGATAAACTGCAATATCTTCTAGGCTGCTGATGGTGAGAGTAAAATCTGTCCCTGACCCACTGCCAGTGAACCAGGCTGGGATGCCAGTGGCCCTGGTAAATGCACCATAGATGAGGAACCTGGGCGCCTGCCCAGATTTCTGCTGATACCAAGCTAAAGAGTTGCGAATGCTCTGATTGGCCTTGCAGGTGAGGGTGGCTGTTTCTCCTGGAGACAAAGCCAAGGAATCTGGAGCTTCAGTCAACAGTGGTATCTGAGATTGAAGTATAGAAAAGAAATGTCACTCATGTAATTCAGATCACACACAGTGTCTTCTCAAGAAAGCCAAATGCATTGATTAACATGGAACTTTAAGTACTATGCTTGCTGATCAGAGGTGCCAGGACACAGGACACAACAGCATTGAAAGAGTATTCACAGATGTGTTGAACCATCCCATAGTCCCTCACCTGGGAGCCAGAGCAACAGGAGGCAGAGGAGCTGAGCTGGGGCTACCATGGTTCTCTCTGGGTCCTACCTGAAGCAGATCACCCAGTAGAATGAGGCACTGATATGGGCACTGGACTGCAGGGTGGGCTGGAAGGAGCATGCAAAGCAGCTGGAGCTGAATAAACTGAGCTCCAGCAGCAGAGACACTGGTGGGGTCTTCTCCACACTTGAGTGACTTCTGCCCCAGTGACTATGTCAGGAAAGGTCCTTGTTCAGCCTGAATATAGAATTTCCCTTTTGTTTTTATACAATCTAATCTTTGTGACACCTTGTTTCACCAAACACCTAGAGTCAGCTAGATGGTACTCAGTACAAACCTATTAGGAGTAATACAGAACCCTATGCAAACATTACTTATCTCCACCTCTAATGTGTCTAATCCTCTCTCTAGGAGCATGACTGTGCCTGGTTGTAATAAGTCCTTGTACAAAATTTGTCTCACACTCTTTTCCTTTACCATCTTGCAATCTATCCCTCAGTCCCTAAAGCAGCCTTACCTTTGTAAAAATTTGCAAAGAACAACAGTCAGTTAGGCTTAGGAATGTGCATCAGTGGACAGCCACAGCTGCACTGATGAGCAGCACTTGGTCTGTCCCCTTTAGCTGTACTGATACCATGTTTCTGAAGACAGACATCAGGACTTTCCCTCCAGAACAATGAAAGTTACACAAAGGCATAAAAAACAGACGATGGGAAAAGGAAAATATTTTCAGTGAATACTGTTGGGAAAAACGGATATATAATAGCAAAATAATTGATAAACATTTGCCCCACATTATCTACAATAATTAACTCAAAGTTTATTAAAGACTTACCTCTAAGATCTGAAACTACACCATCTAAAAGAAAAGAAAGTGGGAACATTCCTTGACATTGCTCTTGGTAGACCTTTTACATTTAACAGAATATTCCAGGCAACAACAACAACATTTGGACAAAACAGTTTCTGCAAACATGAAAAGGAAATGCAAAGGAAATCTAGAGAATGGAAGAGAATATTTGCACATCAAATATCCAATAGATGGTTAATATCCAAGATAAATGATCCACATAACTGAAGAACAAAAACAAATCAATACAAACAACACAACTTTAAAATAGGCCAGAATAAAAATTCTTCCAAAGGAGGAACACAAAAAACTAACAGATATTTTAAATCGTGCTCAGTACTGCTATTCATCATGGAAACACAAATGAAAACCAAAATGAACATCACCTTGTGCTTATTAAGGTGATTATTTTCCAAAGGACAAGAGAAACCAACTCATGTCAAGGATGTAGTGAGTGAGGAAACCATGGGTCACACTTGATGGAAATGTAAATTGGTACAACCATTATGGAAAGCAGGTACAGAGGTTTCCCAAAAATTGAGCAGTAGAGCCACCAAACAACCCATAGTCACACTTCTAAGAGCATCTCCAAAGGACACAGAATCAGCAGCTTGAATAGACATCTACATGGTCATGTTCAGTAAGCATTATTCACAATCGCCAAGATGTGGAAGCAACGTATACAATAGGATATTACTCAGCCATGAAACAAAGTGGAAATCCTGCCATTCATGATAACATGGATGAACCTGGTGGTTACAGTGCTAAGTGAAATGAGCCAGGCACAGATAGTGAATGAGTGCATGATCTCCCTCATGGGTAGATGCTAAAAAGTCATACAGCAGCCTGGGGAACTCCCACCCCAAACAGAAATGTGGAAGAGCAAAAAGGTTCATTTCTCTCTTCTCTTTTGTTCTTCCTTTAAACTCAGTGCATTTTATGATTCTGTTGCCTGTGGATTTCAGATTCTATGCTTTTCAGCCTTTGAATGTGGATTTGCACCAGTGAACTTCTAGGAGCTTTCAGGATTTTGCTATGGAAGTGCATGGTGTACTGGTCCACTTCATTTTGAGGTCTCCTGGCACAGAATGAATATGAACTTTCCTGGCTCTTCAGCTTGCAGGCAGTCATTGTGGACCATTTCAACTTCTGTGACCATGTGAACCAATCTAATAAATCCCTTTTTGTTATAGAGATAAATGATAGATAGATAAATGATAAATGCATAATTCTATCTTTCTTTAGAACCCTAATGAATACACTGACAAAAATTTATTGCAAGATGTATAAAAACTACCCAATAAAATAGAAAATTATATATGATTTGTATGTGTTATTTTATTGGGTCACAACTCATTCCCTCCAAATACTATACAAATGGCTAAGAAAAAGCATATGAGAAGTTACTCACCATCATTACTCATGAAAGAAGTATAAATTTTATCCACAATACCATTTCAAGGTTGACCAACATAGTTACAATTTTTAAGAGTCAAATAATAGCAAGTATTAGAAAGGCTTTAGAGCAACAGACATTTTTGTGCATGACTGGTAGAGTGTAAATTTGTTTTCAATTTTAGCAGACTTTCTGCCAGCATTTACTAAAACAAAAAAAAAGTACCAACTAATTCTATAACTCAGCCCTCCAAGTCCTAAGACTATAGTCAAGAGAATGCATGAGTCTATTAAAAAACATGCAAAAAAATCTAAAACTTAGTTAATAACAACCTCAAACCTAAAACAATTAATAAGTTCAGGAATGTATTAGTTGGCATGTTCCTGTACTAGAGAACTATTCTACAATAAAAAGAACAATTATTACTGAGCCAAGCACATAAATTTCATAATGCATGTTGATCAAAAGAAGCAAGAAGCCAAAAGCATAGTAGGATTCCATGGACTTGGAGTTTGAGAAGATGTGGTTCATATTGGTAGAAAATGGAACCATGGAATCCTCATGTGAAGGTGGATGAGACAGGACATCACTGAGATGGGCCATAATGGGGAGGGTGTGAGGCTGGAGTGCCAGGGACTCCCAAAGTAAGTCTCCAGTCTCCACCTGCCCATTGCATGATGCAAGGTTGAAGAAAAACTTAAGACAGAGTTAAAAGAAAGTGTGAACTGCGATGGCCAGTGCTCCTTTGACAAAAGGAACTGGCCTGTCTCTTCCACCAAATTTTATTGTTCATCAATCAGGGTAAAGGTGCAGTATGTGCAGTACTTGAAATGAGCATGGAAGTAATGCAGGCGAGGCTTTAAAGAGAAAGCAAAGCATTCTCAAATCAGGAACAGAATAGACAAAATATATGGTTGTAATTAGAGCATTGTCCTTCAAGCTATGAAGTCACTAATTGTCTGAATGGAATTTGGGTGCTATTATTCCAACCTCAGCTCCATGTTATCCTCAGTTAGCCCCACAGCTTCCCAGGCCATTACTCTTGTCTCAGCTGCGGGGAGGTGTTGTGAATTTGCATGTTACTGCATTGCTCATGAGACACTTCTGAGAGCTACATAGCTTCAGTCAGACTCACTGCCCAAAGTGAGCCAGTCGAGGGACTTAATTCTGCAGCTTGCACTGCTTATAGCATACTTGGGACATAATCAATATTGTGGGCTCTGGCACTGGAGATGAGCTGTATCCTGTGCTTAGTAGTGGTAAAAGGGAAAGTGTATATAAAGTAACTAGCTGTACATTTTGTATTCAATTTATTCAAAATAAGTATACTTTATTGCATTTAGTTGCATCTAACTTTATGAATGAATTAATGAATGAATAGAAGCTATGCATTCAGAGAATCAGAATGTGTTTCCTCTTCTGACCTACAAGCACTGGTACCTTTGGCAAGCAATGCTGCAAGAACCTTGGATTTCATATCTGCAGAGAATTCATGTGGGATGAAGTGGACTAGATGAGTACAGGCTTAGTGTAGTGTTCAACACATAGCAAGCCTTCGAGACTTCAGTAATCGGCAACTGGCACAGGGTATTTTTGCTCTTTGTTATTAGCACTAGAGTTGTAGTAGTAGAAGTATCTCCCATATTTCCTTGCAGATGGGTTCCTATTCTGCAGCAGATCTCTGTCTTTCAAAAATATTTTTTTTAAAAAGTATCTTTTCAGAATTTGTCTTAGAAAGGATACAAAGACCATGTGGCAGAGAAATCCTTTGCAGGCCTGACATAGCAATCTCATTTTTTAAATTTACTGAAGGTTCAGGAAGGTTGTATCATCAAGAAAACATATTTTAAAAGACTAAAATAGTTTGTAGCCCTTACCGCTGAGCCCTGCAGCACGCACCCTTCCCCCCATTACGGATTCTGTGGTTGTGAATGTGCCACAGGAGAGATGGCAGCTGCTGAAATCACAGACCCTCCTACAGAGCCAGCCTTGAGGGATGGTTTGTGCACGGGGCTGTAACACCGTGAGAGGGCCTGAGTGGTCCTGCTGGCAGAAATAAGTGCCAGCATCACTAGCTTCTACCCTGCTGATTTTGAAAATGAATTCTGTTCCAGACTGTATGCCAGTGTAGTGGTCAGAGACACCGGAATATTGGTTATCAGCATCATAGATGAGAATCCTACAAGGCTGGCCTGGCTTCTGCTGATACCAAGTTACATAATCACTGATGCTCTCACTGGCCCTGCAGATGATGGAGAAGCTCTCTGCTGGAGTCGCAGACAGGAAGCCTGGGGACTGAGTCAGCACAGCGCTCCCACTGGTGACTGAGAAGGAAGGAAAGCACACAGTCACTGATATCAAGTGAGCCCCACTCTATTTTCCTCTAGCAGATCTTGTCTCTCCTGATCCCTTAGCCCAAGAGCACCTGGCTCTCTGAGACAGGACCACTGGCCCGAGATTAACAGAGACCCTGGGAGGATCTCACCACCAGGAAAAGGGAACTCCTGTCCTCTAAGGTGCCTTCCCCATAGCCTACCTCCCTCACCTTGGCACCAAAGCAGCAGAAAACAGCAAAGCAGAGTCAGAACTCTCATGTTCAGTCTAAGCTTTGTTAACAGGGGCTCTTTTTGGCCAGATCCACTGAGAAGCTTCTCATGAGGACTCTGAGGAGCAGAAATGGCCTCTAAGGGAAACATGCAAATCAGTGGGGCATTGGGCAGGTCTGCCTGGGGCTGGGGACCCTGTAGGGTTCAGTTCCTTCTGTCTCTGCATTCAGTCCCAAAGAAGTTTCTTCTTGGAGTTTGTAAGATAAAACCATTTACATTTTCTGATATTATTTGTGCTCAGGGTCTAGGTATGTGCAGTTAGAATAAGAAATTCTTCTTCTAAGAATCAGAAAATAAAGAACTTGAGTGATTTCCTACCTGGAATACAAAGTCTTAATCTTTATTAGTAGTATATAATTGTCCTTCTAGAATTCCATAAAATATCATCTTCTGGAGATGAAATCATGGTTCTGTGTTGATATGTTGCTTAGATTAGACATTCTGAAGCATGATGGGTCACAGAAAAGAAAATGTCTTTGAGGAAACTTGTGTCACAGCACTTGGGATGCTGTGCAGTAGAGAAGGACCACAGTTAACTAGAGCAGATTTCCATAGCAAGAGTAACTCTTTATTTTGATGATCAATGCATTTGTTTATTAAGATTTCATATTTATAGTAACTTTATCCT